CAAGCCCCGGGTTGGGAGGGGGGTCGTGATGATAGATTCTCCAGGTATAGGAGATATTGTTGTTTTAGTAGCCATTTCAACAGAAATTCGCAGAAAAGATCATGTAGATGAATGACGCTCAGGAACGCATACTGATAACTTCAAATTTCTCTAAGAAGTTTAGTAATATCTAGTTTTCAAGCACCTAAACTTTTGAAATTATGCCTTACTTCCAACTGAGAGCAGCCGCTAAGTAACTCCTCCAGATCAGAAATATGAATTGATCTCCCTCTTTTTTCTGCCACCGAACCCAAGTAGAGAGACCTGATGCAAGAAAAGAAGATGCGATAACAGCAGCAGCACAAATTGTATAAAATTTACAAACCATGAAATGTGATTATCAAAGACCAAACATTATCATGATCAAAATTGCACTTGAAATCCACAGCAAACCTTAGGTCCTTGCATTGGTTACCAATCTCAGAAAGCAGTTTCCCACTAAAATCAGAACAGTTATGCAGACAAAGCTCCTGCAGCGATGGTTTAACCATAAGTGGTATAGCTGAATCATCAAGCCGACCACAATCAACTTTGAGGCTCCTAAGATAGGGATTTGGCGGCAGCAACGGCGTCAGCAAATCCACAGTTGGCGCGATGTCCTGTAAACATACGCATCCCGGCACTGGAAAAATTAGCTTTGTCGGAATTTTCAAATATAGAAGAACCACCCGAATTTGGGGTTTCAGAAAAGATCCAAATCCGCCACGGTTGGCGGTAACATTTCACAAGAAAGAATAAACCCAAACCCCATTTACAGATCTGATTATTTGAGTTCACAAGCAATAAGTCCACGAAAGGAAACCAAGATGAGAAATTTAGAAGGACCCACGCAGAGAGGGAGGGTGATAATCCAAAGAAATATAGTTTGGAAGGATGTAAAGTAGGGATGGGGTAAATAAAAGATTACATACCAGAAGGTGGAAATTATAAAGGAAGGAGAGGATGTGAGAAGCGCAGGACTTGAAGGCGGAGCAGGTGGAGGAGACAGAACAGATGGAAGCGATGTCGAGCTTCATGAGGATAGTGGCGAGAAGAGCAGAAGGAAGCTGATCCAGACTCATTTCGCTGCCCTCCACTTTCGCCATTTCCATCCCTTTCCAGGACCTGATCGGAAAAACGAACCCGTTCCGCCGGGTGCAGATCCGATGGAATGAAATAGGACCGCAAGTCTCAGGTTTTTCTAATCAACAGTAGAAGTTAGGGACGGGACAAGACGGCAATCCCGTGCATCGCTCCGAAAAAAAATCGGACCGAACTTTTGTCCGTCTCGAATCTTGTTCCCTTAGAAATTGAAACGGGACGGACGAGATTGGAATGGCGTTAGAGATCATGTGTGAGAAAGATTTAAATAATAATATTTATTAAAATTTTAAATTATATAATTTATTAAATTTAAATTTAAAATAATATAAGAATATATATAATTTATGACAATTTAAAGTTAATTGTTAAATTATATCAATCACTACTATAAATATATAACATATTATAATAATAATTATAAATAATTTATAAATTACAAGAGCAAGATAAGTAAGGCATAATATCAAGTTATTACTCTTCTTATTTAATTAAGATATGTTAAAGTAGTTCCTCTTCTAAAAATAAAGTAAAAAATGTGATATAAACAAAAGTTATTAAATAACTGGATATAAAAATAAATTGTGTTAATATAATTAATGCATTATAAAAAAAATATTAACATGTACTGCTTACTTTATATCATTAAAATTATTAATATAAAAAAAATTTTAATTTTAAATAAGAATTAAATATATTAAAATTATAATTAATATAAGTATTAAATATATTAATGTATATTTTTAAAATAAAAAATAATATATGTATATAAAATATTTGGGATGAGATGTCTTAATGGCAATATCATGTCTAGTTCTATCTCAAATTCCTTTTCAGTCTCATTTTATAAAGTCTCATCTCAATTGTTTTCCAGTCGAAACAAAACCAATTCCAATATGACTGGAATGAAGCTGGGCCAATCGAGACAGGTATAAATTAAACACCTCTAATACAATTAGAACATGCAAGCTCTATATTGGGATAATTATAAATATTATAATATAATATTATAAATAATAAATAATGAAGGCCAAAAAATAAATCATCAGTGGTAAAGTATATAATTGATGAAAAATTAACATATTTACATTTCTTTATTAAATCATAATAACAAACTCATGTTTTATTTTGAAATATCTCATCATTTTCTTTAGGATAAAGTAGTAAATTACTAAATTTGGTCAGAAGTTATTTTTTGAGAAGTATCTGGTAGCTTAAACTATCAGATGGTGTAAAATAAATTACGAACTTTAAAAAATAAAACATCCAGTAGCCCATCGTTAACGTCAACTAACGGACATTATGTAGGCCTATAATGACACATGACACAACAAGTCAGCATGGTAAAAGTGTAAATTTAGTCACGAACTATTTTTCGAAGAACGTTGAGTAGCCTCTACTATAAAAAAAATGGACTATCTAACACATTCCCCTCAATTTTGACTAAATATCATTTATTTTCATACTTATAAAGCCCATAAAGCATTTATCTCTCCAATCTTGTTGTATTCGTTTTCAATCTCAACTCAAGAAAAAGAAGTTTAAAGAGTTATTATCTGAAAATATTCACAAAGATGACGCTAACAAAGTAGAAGAAATAATTCATGATTAAATTAAGCTAGAATCAAGCTTCTTTTATATATAGTAAAATCTAGCTTTTAATTTATTGAATGTCTTCAGATAAAAACTCATTGAACATCTTCTTCTGAAGCTTATATTGAGAACGAAGGCAAGAAAATTGGAAGGATTAATGTTTTGTGGGCATCATAAGTATAAAAATAAACAATGTTTGATCAAAATTGAGGGAAAAGTATTGGATGATCTTTTTTTTATAGTAGAGGCTACTCAGCTCTTCTCAAAAAATAATTCATGACTAAATTTATACCTTTATCATGTTGATATGTCATGTCCATGTTGTGCCACATGTCATTATGAGTCTTAAATAATGTTCGTTAAATGAAGTTAATGGTGTGTTATTGATGCTCTATTTTTTAAAGTTTGTAATTTATTTTACATAATTTAATAATTTAATCTATTAGATGTTTTTTAAAAAATAATTTATAACTAAATTTACTACTTTATTTTTTTTTTTTTTTATCCTTACCGCCTCTTTATGTCCATTCAAACGCATGACATGTGAGCGGACACAAGCCTCAACAGCATGACCCGCAATGTTAACAGACCCATGTTTTATGTAGTTTTGGACGTCAGGCATTAACTTTTCAATCCCACCCCAAGTAAGTGTACGATTGATTTTTAATTTATCAAAAATTTATATTTAAATATATTTTTTAAAAGTTAATTTAATAAATTAAAAATTATTTAAATTAATGATATTTTATATTTTTAAAATGTATTTTTGAATATATAATGACTAAAAAGAGACATTAATATATAATTTTTATTATACAAATATAATATATTAGAAATATTTAAAAATGTGAAAATATTTAAAATAATATAAAATTTAAGATGTTAGATAATAAGAATATATATATATATATCGTTTAATATTGAAAAAAATTATGTAATAAATAGTTCAATATTTGTCAATATTAAATAATTACATAATTAACTGTTTAATCTATAATGTTTAATCTGATCCCAAGTAGAATCGCAAACTCTATTTATCTCTCTATCAAAAGTCATGCTTGAATTGCATTTAGAATTGATGATGAAAATACATACTTATTATTATCATCATGAGTGTTAATCATATTTTTATTTTTAAAATGCCTAAAGTTAGAATCATTTGTAAATTTTCTTCTAATAAAATTATGTATAGCCATTGTTGCATCAATTATACAAACTTGCATTATAAATAGATAACTAAGCATGTGTGGTAAGATTTTGAGCATGTTTTTTCACACCCCAAAAGTCCTTTCAATCGTGGCCATTAATCTTAAATGATAATAATTGAAAATTTTATTATTATTTACAAATTTGAATGAACGCCTAAAATTTGGGAAGTAACACTTATGAGAACTATAAGGAGTGGCATTGGACAGTCAACATACACCAAATAATATTTACTTACCAATAAAAAATAAAAATTATAAAAATTAATTAAATATTGAAACAAATTATTTTAAATTAAATAAATATAAACTAGAGTTGGCAAATCTACATTGTAAATCCACCAAAAAAATAGAGTTGGCCAATCCACATTTCAACCCCATCTCAACCCATATTTACAAAGTCATTTTGTTTATTTAAAAATTATTCAAACAACATTTAACATTTCAAAAAGTTGAGAAGTGAATTTCAAATGCCAAACCTCAATTACCCAAACAACCTTCAATTTACCATAATCCGTGATTACCGTGTCAATTGTTCTTCCCATCTTCCATGGTTTTGCCCTCATTTGCAAGTCTTTTTTTTTTTTTTAAATAGCACCTTCATTTGCAGTTCTTGCCTCCCTATTCAATCAAATTTGTAAGTTTGAAAATTGAAGTGGCACGACATGACAAAGGTATTTTGGCAAAACTAGTATGATCTCCCATCTGTTTCATGTTTATGAGTTTAACATGAATAATATAATTTATTAAAAATTTTATATTATACATAAAATTATATTTATTAGTTAATTTTTTAACAAACCATTAAATTATCCCTCATGAAAAACTTCATGCTAGGTTTAAAAATCTTCAAAGCTATTTTAGTTCTTCCGAATACTTGTCTGCTATTTTTGCTAAACTAGATTTTGTTTATCAGACCTAATTTTTGTAAATCAAGTAGAACATTGCTTTTGCTAAACTAAGTTTTCTTAACGCCATTTTCTACGTCTGAAATCCAAACACGCACAATGTTTATTGAAAATATGAACTAGCTGAAAGCAAGTAACAATGTCTTAACTATCTTTATCAATTCACATGCATCTATTATCTATAAAACCTTATACTTTATTATAATATTAACTTTCATATAACACTTGGTATTTATCTAACATATTTGCATACCAAAATAAAATTTAAAATATTTTCAACCAGGAAAATATTCGGCAAATCCCCAAATTTGTCAAGAAAGACATTGACAATGACAACCAACCATGAGCGACGAGACTCGCTAAGATAACAGTCTTAGATAAAGAAGCTTCACCCTGTACATCGGAGTTTGAGTAATCTTGAAAGTGCATTCAGGAGGCACAGCGATGAATCTCATCACGGCAAAGTAGGGGGAAAATAGTGATTTAACCACGACCTGTTTGATCAGTAAGCCAAAGATGATGAAACCAGCCACTCTGATCACCTGGATCAGCGAAGAGGACATTCTGGACCTGATCATACTCCTTCTCTACAACTCTCTTAGGTAGTGGCACATACAAAGTGGTCTTCTGTCTAATTTGATGAAGAGAGAGGTTAAAGGATGCTAGCTCTCTTTTGACCAATGCATAGCAAGTTAGCTATTTATTCAGCTTCCACTGGCGCATCAATTTCTACGGCCTAGATTTCTAGTGGCATGATCTTTACATGGCCAGCTCTTCCAACTGATCCTGCAATTGCTGCGCATAGCTATGTCAGCATTATACTCTGAGATTGGCAACCACTGTGGGACATGGGCACTATAAAATCAAAACTGAACTATCTGCTAAGATATACGGCGGAAAATTTTCTTGAACCTTGGTAATAAACTGTTTTCCATTTGAAAGAAGGTAATGTGCTGCCAATTACGAACTATTTCATTATGTCATTATCCTTTTCCAATGTGATTCTGCCAAGCTAATCACCGCCACCATATTTCAAATTTAGCTTCTGCAGCTCTTCTAACCGATGGACTACTTCATGGTATCTCACTGCGTAATGCAACGTCAACAGTAGGGAAAAGCAATCAATTTACTTCCCATAATTCAATCACTAAACTGATCGACATGTTATCCGTAAGTATACATATTACTAGACCTTTTGTAGGAGCCTCTCGAACCAGAGGGCCCTCAGAGATGCTCAAACTAAGCAGCGGTGAGAATATATATATGTATGTATGTGTGTATATAAAGTACTTAAGGATTTTAATATGTGAGGAAGTTTATTGCATAATTGTGCAGGGAAACATCAGAAAATAAAATGTAGGACTTACTCTGAGCACCGGCAATCTGAGCCAACGTGGAGGCGGCCAGAACAACCTGCAATATCCTGGATAATCAGATATGGGGCAAATTCGATCGCCATCTAATTCAAAAACGCCCAGACCATTCTCTTTGGCAGTATCGTTGAAATAATCATCTCTGAAAATAATGCAATTCCCTTCACTGATGAATAAATCTGATGCCGAGGAAGAAAAGGCGCAATTATCACCGAGAAACAAAACTCGATCCCCCAAACTTTTCAACTCGAGCCACTCCTTTACTTCTTCATTCAGCTTAAAAACCTCGAATTTAACCGCTTGCTCCCACCCGAAACAAACATCATCGTCAAATCCATCATAGGCTCCCAGGCATTGATAGTCGAAGGATAAGTATTTATCAACCAACAATAGTTGACCATCGGATTCGACCAAGAATTTCTTGTCACCGCCAAACACAGGTTCAGCAACCAAGCGGACACTCGAATCCAATCCAACCACGACCGTCCTTCCCGTACTATCAACAGCGTAAAGCTGGCCTTGAAAAACACAGACATCATCGTAGGGTGTTGGCATGTCGGGGATAATAGTCCACTCCTTATCACCAGACCTGAACAAAGCCAACTTACCAGAAACATGAATGGTGAGCAAAGCAAATTCCTGGCTTTTGGAATTCAACCACATAAATACGACCTTTTCTAAATACAAGCTACTAGCATCCTCTACTGAATTAGAAGGGCCCAAATCGACATCGACGTCGTTCAGAACATATTCTCGACCCAATTGGATAATTGGAAGGTGATACACATCCAACAACATGGGGAAATCCGTAGGAAGGGGTTTGATGGGATAGCGAGAGAGGGGGTCGCGTAGAGCCATGTGACCACGAACATGTTCCATTTTGATCAACCAGGGATGAGGATCGGAATTGGATGGGGAGAGGGAGGGAGGCGGATAAAGGAGGAAAAGATCGCGCTTGGAAAGGCAGAAAGCGCCATAATCGGAAGTGCCAACATTGGAGAAAACAGGGAAATTAGAGGGTAAAGGGTGAGGCAGGATGGAAACGGAGAATCGCCATGAGGAGCAAACGGAGCGAAAACGGAGGAGGTAGAACGTAAACCGGAGGCGTTCAGCGATCAATTGAATGAGTTCCTCGGGGAGCTGAGACCAGTCCGCCATGCTTTCCTCTCTATGCAGATTTGGGGCTTACGATTGTGGGGATGGGGAGGGGGAGGAATCCTCCAAATCCAGAAGGGTACAAAAATTTCATCCGAAAATACAGGGAGGCCCTCCCTTTGTCCCATCCAACTTTCTTTTCTTTTAATTGAAAACTGAAATTCATTTAATGCTCTTTTTGATTGAAGAAAAAATATTAAAAAAAATATAGAAAATAGAAATATAATTTTTTTTTGTTTGGATGAAAAAAAATAAAAAAATTGAGAAGAAAATAACATGAGCCCTACACATTTTTTTAAATTTTTTTTAAAGGTGAAAAAATTTTAAAAGTAAATTTTTATTTTCAATACCTATTCTCTTTTCTCCTGCCTTCTTTTGTCATTTCAATCATTTTAATTTCTTACAAACAATCAAATTATAATTTTTATAAAAATTTATATTTTTAACTTTTAAAAATTAATTTAATTTTAACAATTAATTTTAATATAATTTAATCTGATAATGTTAATTTTAATATATTTAATTTAATTTTAAGAAATAGAAACAGAATTTGTGTCTTCAACTTTCTGCATTTTTTAACAATTAATTTAATTTTAAATTAATTTGATGACTTTAATTTTAATATAATTTATTCTTTTAATTTATTATTACAAAAATAATTACATTAAAAATGATATATATTGATATAACGGTGTTACAATTATTATAATATTTATTCATTTTTTTTACTTTCTGTTTTTTTGATTCATTCAAATGTAATGAGTAATAATATTTTTTTTAATTTTCTCTTTTTTAATTTTTTTTATTTTTTTTTTCTTTTAATTTTTCCCCCCATCCAATGGGAGGTTAAAACAATGAAGAAGAACAGTACAAGAAACCTATTCCGAGAATAAGGACAGCAAAACTGCTTTCTTTTCGGGGCAACAAACAAGGCAGGCACTGGGATTTGGACTTTGGAGAGCGGGCTTCTCCTGCTATCTCTGCTTCGTCTTTCTTCCCTTCTTTTGCCGGGGGTAAGACCCTACGTTTTTCTTTTCTTTTATTTTGTTTTATACTTTTTAGAAATAGATATAGTTTCAAAAAATAATAATAATTTTTTTAAATTATATAAATAATAATTTAATATCTTAAAATTTCATAATATTATTAAAGTCTTTTATTGATAAATTATAATTTAAAAAAATTATTTTATTTTTATTAATAAATTATGATTTTTTGTTCAATTTTTGCAATGCTTTAAAAAAGTTGTGATTTGTTAAATAAAATTTGTAAGTAAATTTTATTATTTTAAAAATTTATTTTTTAATAATAAAAATAATACTTAATAAATTATAATTTTTTATTCAACTCTTGCGATTTACAAAATAAAATTATTTTTTTTAAACAAAAGTTATGATTGGGGCTTATTTTTTAATAACAAAAATTACACTTGATAAGTTGTAATTTATTGTTCAAATCTTATGATTTATAGAACAAAAATTTTAATTCCTTGAATAAAAGTTGTGATTAAATTTTATTATTTTTAGTAAAGATAAAATAGTTATTTTTAAAAAAAAGTTATTGACAAAGAGGTTTTTAAAAATTTTATTGGTATTATGACATTTAAAAAAATTAAAATGTCATTTATATAATTAGATGAAATTTTATTGTCATTTTGTCTTCAAAAAAAACTCATTACATTAAAAAATGATAATAAAATTTTACCAAAATATATAAATAATAATTAGATCTATCAAAATGTCATAATTTTTTTAAATATTTGGGTACCTTTTTGATATTAGTAATTTTAAATTAAATAACTAATTTTTTTTGTATAAAATAAAAATAATGGGTCTGGCTTTATTTTTTCAATCATAACTTTAATTTTTTGAATTGTAAAAATTGAATAAAAAATCACAATTTTTTTCGTAAATTTTTTTATAATTGGCAAAAAAATTTTGAAAATAAACAATCCCAATTACAACTATTATTTAAAAAATCACAATTTCTTGTATGATTTTTTTTTAATATTGAAGTTCAAGTTCTGAGAATAGCTAATTACAACTTTTATTTAAATAATTATGACTTTTATTATATGAATTGTAGAAATCAAATAAGAAATTACAACTTTCTACATGAACTTGTTATTTTTTTATTCCCAACAAGGAACAATTTATTTATTTAACTTACAATTATTAATGTCAAAAAGATATCTAAAAACTTAAAAAAAATTATGATATTTTGAGGGATTTGATTGTATTTTATATAATTTCAGTGGGATTTTTTTGTTATTTTCTTTATCATATTTTTCAAATTCTTATCACTCGTGCCTTTTGTTTTTTTTTTTTGGTGTTAAAATCTATTTGAGGCTGAGAGTATATTTCTTGTTTTGGAAATACAGACATAAATAGAACTAGCAATTTAGATAAAGCTTATTCATACCGGTCTGAACAAACTAAGTATACAAAATCATACCCTACTTAAGACTTTGTAAAAAAAAAAAAAATCACGTACATTAAAGGTTATTGAGTGGGCTAAAATTTTTAAGGAATTCATCAAAGTTATTAAGTGAGCTAAAATCCATCATGCTATGAAGGTTTCTTGTTCGGGATTGTTTCATTCAATTTGAAATTGTGAGCTGCAACCATTAAAATTTATTTTTAACGAGGTGTCACAAACCAAGTGACAGGTTGACTTTGGCACCCATTGAGATAGGAAACAGACTGGACCGGTTTTGAATGCCTTTTAAAGCGAAAAACTGATCCAAAATTCCACTCCAACCTTGGAGTCACACTGCGTAACTGTAAGTTTATACAAATTGTGGATCAAAACTAAGGTTTAAAAAAAAAATCAGTATTTGTGTCAGAACTTGGCTCTTTCTGTACCGTTGTTCCAAGCAAACATTATGACTGAATCTAAAAAAGCTTACAAATTTGCATCACAACTTCCAGGAATGAGTAAAATGGCTCACGATTACAGAGAGGTTGAAATAGTGTGAATAATTTCTGTCAATGAAGAGCATTGATAAGTGACAACATGAAAAAAATAAATAATTGTAAATAATTTATGATCATGGTGTAGTGGAATTCCGATATTCAAATAAATCATTATTGAACTTTTCAAAGAATGGGTCAACTGATATTCTGTACGTTCTCCAGCAACTTCATGTTCATCGTGGAGTTCTGCTGGCAGCCCTGCCACAGAGAAGAGCATTCTTCGGAATTGGATACTCATCCCTGATCGATTCCACTGGTGAATACACTCGCAGATAGAATTGTTGGCCAAGGTACTGTCTTGCCCAAAATTCACTTCTCACATTCCACATTCCCACGTTATCCAGTGCCATGTAAATTGCAGTCCATGACTTGGGATATACCTGCCAAACGAAATACAACAAAAACAAATTGAATTTCTGCTAATGAGCAAAGTGAAACTGCAACTCTGTGCCACACATCATAACAACAAAACCCACCTGTGTAGTGCACCTGGAAACTGCATCTCTGAGGTTGTACTGATTACGACTAGCAGGCGCCCACTCACCGCCATCCATACTGCATCAGAACGCCATGTTAGAACATTCACTCTGAACAAAGGATTTGAGATAAGCTTATTTTGACATGATGTGACTACTTCTTACCCTACGACCCAGAACGAGTATCCGTCAATGTGCCAACTTTGGATAATGTTCTCGTGATTCTGAAACACGATCTCAACAAAGGCTCGAAAATCAGCTCCCATGACTGAAGTATCGAGATACATTTGTTTTCCCGAGGGGTTGTCTGGGATGCTTCCAACCTTGAAAACACCATCAATCTTGAAGTAATCTGCTAGTTTCAAGGGGGTGTCGGCTGGGATGAAGGATACACTATTCACTGCATATCTTTGCTTGCCCTGAACTTGAGCTGCTGAGCTCTCCAGGATAATCGTTCTGCTTACATTTACCAGACCATAGTGGTAAGAACCTTGAGGATTTGGCCTCGGTCCACTGGCAGTAAGGTTAGTCCTGCAATAATATAGGAAGACACGGGTTGATCAATGCACATTTGATGAGAAAATTTGATCAGTGAAACGCAAAGGACATTGACCTCACCTGATTGAACGAGCTTGTTGAAGAGACCAATCGATCTGGGTGGTTGGTCCAGCAGGAATAGGGCCGGAGACAGGTTGCTGAGAGTCGCTATAATGAAGAATGGCGGTGCTAGTGAGTTCCTGGTTGGTGAAACGAGTGGACACGACAATATAGTAGTCTTTTGGTGTCTGATCAGCTGTGATGAGAACAGAATAAGATTGTCCCACGTGAACATCCAATGAGGAATAGGTGGTCTGTACAGTGTGAGTTCCTTCAACTTCAACCAATTTCAAGTCGTGGCCTTGAATCCTGAAGTTGAGAGTGTTCTGAAGCCCCACGTTTGATATTCTGAGCCTATACGTTTTCCCTGTTCGTCATGGATATAACGCGGCTCACACGTCAAATGTTTGTCCGTAACTTGAGATTGGAAGGGCAGGGAAGGTGGAAATAAAAAGCCTACCTCGCTCCAAAGTGAAACTAGTGCCGTTTGCGCGGCCATTAATTAGTAAAGCTTGAGGGAAAGGAAGCCTGTGACCACCATCTAAAACGGCCTTCAATCTCTGAAATCATGTCATGGGATATTAATACACAGTGCAAATAATGAACAAGTAAAGGGCCAGAGGAGGAAAGAAAGAAAATAAAGATACCTGATGAGGGATGGTGTACCAATCGCCGACGAGAAGAGAGAAATCACCAGCTGGATCTGGGAAAGGGACAGGAATCCTTGGTCTGCTGAGGACTTTGATAGCACCAAAGCCACCAGCAGCTTTTTGGAACGCAAGAGAAGGGAAATAGAAGTAGCTTCCGATCTGATCTTTGACTTGAAGCGTGTAGGTAAAATTCTTGCCAGGGGGGATGGGGCACGTGGTTCCATAGACTCCGTCTTGATAAGAATTTCTCCTTTGCTGAACACCACTCCTGTTCAATATTAAAGTCATCAGCAAATGATATGCTATTTGATAAACTTGGCATGTGAGGTGGTTTGTTGGTAGGTTTATTTCGTTTGTGACGGTGAAGCCACCTTTTATTAAATCCGTCCATGTTTCCCTTTGTCTCTTTAGGTCCGCAAAAAGTTAAACCCATCCTTTATATTGTGATCGAATTTAATAACATCAGACTGGCATGCCGACCGACGAACAGGGAAAGAAGAAGAAGAAGAAGAAGAAGAAAAAGCTGGCAATCCTCACTCCAATGCAGATTGGACCAAAATTTTTCAAAGCAATAAAGAAACAAACACGCAGGCTAACATTATAAAGGGGTGTTTCTAAACTCTGAAGTGGGGCTTCTAATGCATCAAGAGAGAAGAAATGTTTCATTTACCACCCACTATCAGATCAATTTTCAAACTCTTATTTGTACCGTAAGCTGATCTGACAAGGCTTTGATGTGAATTCTGATTGATGGACCGGTTAGATCGCACTATGCATCAAAAGAGATGAGTTTTATGACAAAGGATGTGCAAAAAAAATGGTTGCTAAAGCGCGGTCTTATTGCCTAATCAATGTATATAATCATGCCATGCAATCAAAAATTGTTCGTTAATATAGATAATCGAGACAGTTAATGGAAGGGAAGTCAGTCAATATGAAGCAGTATGGCAGCTATTAAAATCATAATTTTTTTTTTTTTGGCAGACTAAAAGATGAGAAGAGAGTGAGGGTAATGACCAGGATATGAGGAAAGGTTCGGGCAAGTTATTGAAGACATTAATGATGAGATTGTCATTGGTAACAGAGTAGATTTCGGGTGCAGGAAATTGACCATTGATGAGAATGCCCTGCACAAGCAACGGGTGAAACGAACCTCAGCCGAGGAGTAACTCAAAATGAGGGAGACAAGAGTAGAAAGGAAGAGGAAGAAGAAGAAGAAGAACCTGTTGTTTAAAACCAAGGGGATAGATGTCACCGTAGGTGACGTTCCAGTTGAAGAATCTGTAAGGGTCCTCGGCAGTAACGAGCCCCAGCAGCAGCAAAAGGAAGCAAAAGCGGAGCATGGTGCGAGAGTGAAGACCAAGGCAAAGAGAAAGAAAGGAGGAGGAGTGTGAAACAAGTGAATGACGAAGACAGGAGTTGGGACTTGGAAGTATTTAAGGAGTGGGAGGCGAGGTGTGATGACGCGTAGGTTGTAGAAGGAAACGCGATTTAGCAGAGCCAATCATATTTAAAAATTTATTTTGAAAGAAATGATGGGGCACAGCATACATTGATCATTCTGCGTTCATTTTTGCTCGTGTCGCGGGTAATCATGAGATTTGATGATTGGGGACGAGAACATTACATAGTCAGAGAAGCGTGTGAGGCAGGGATTCACATTGACATGCTTCACGTATGGGCTGGAAGTGAGCAGGCTAAATATACCAAATTTTGGTGTGGTCGTGTGGAAGACGCCGCAACGCGCTATCTCTTCATGTGGTATGGTATGACCACCTTTTTCCCCGGTGGATACCATTATTTTATTACGCACCGCCTAATTCAATATCATCATCAAAAATTGGGCCTTACCATACGCGGAAACTTCAACCACAATGGTTTTCATCGTCGCTTTCCGGGACATTCTTTTCTCTCGCTTGTCAGGCCGTGGCCAGATCGGTTTGGGTTTGGATGGTCTCTTTCAGGGTTAAATTAGTCAAAGCTCAGGACTTTTTCCCAAGTCATAAAGCTAGGATCCCCCGGGAGTAGCTTTTGTGATTGATTGTTGGATTTTTTTTATCTGGTGTTGATAACAACATTTTAATTGAATAATTCAATACATCGCGTTTCATTTGGTGAACTTGTGCTGATTCCGTTTTGTTTGGGGTGTTGTGACAATTGTTCATTTGTCTGTGGAGTTGCCCTGAGTAAGCTGCACTGACCACGGAATTTTTTTTTTTTTTTTAAAAAAGAGTTGACTAGGACAGAAACGGATGAGCTGTGTTGTGTGGTTGAATAGGAAGGAGGAGGAGTAGGACCTGTTTCATGTGCTTTCAAATGGGGAAGGAAGCCTTCTGGTTGGTGAACATATTTTATATGAAAAAAAAGTAGGCCGTCAATTTGTTAGGATTTCATTCAATATTTAATATTTAGTTACAGAAGAAAGGTCAAAACAAAGAGCGGCGTCATGGATGAGTAATGTTAATTAATATATAGGCACCGAACGCTGAGGTGCCCATCCCCAACACCCCTTTACGCTTGTCTTCGGGCTTTTCTTTCCCCCCTCGTACGGCTTCTCCTTGGGCTTCTGCACATGATCTCTCCCCCCGCCCCTTCCTCGGTGTCTGTGTGTGTGTGTGTGGGGCTCTTGTGTCCAATTGTTTTGGGCCTTTTTTAAGCTAAGAAATATACCATCCCAACATAATTATGATAAATGCCCTCATTTTATGGTCGTTTTAATAATATTTTAAAAAAATGTTATAATAATTGTTTGGGCCTAAAATTTTTACGTTTAAATAAAAGCCTAAACTAGCATAAATGAAGAGTTAAGCCTGATAAGTTGTCCAAAGAAGTAGAGCTTAATTTATTTAAAATAGACTTTCCTAAATAAGTAAACGTTAAATTATGGAGGAAATATGTGTAACAACTTCTGGCATTATTCCATGATACACTCCTTAATAAATGCTCTTAATTGAAGAGTCAACCAAGGTTTATGTAACCTTGAGCAAATAAAACAAACTTGAGATCCCACACATTATCAGTATGATACTTAGAGTAATTAAGTTAGGCAGAAACAAATAAAAAAAATTAATACATCAAAAACTTGAAGCCAAAGAGTAAAAGAGACAATTATGAGTCTTATTGAGTCAGCTTGATGCGACTAAAAGTCCACTCACCACAGCCAAAAATATTAGTCCACGTTCATTGCGTTGCACACACTCACTCGGCTCAGCAAAAAGCAAAAATGCCACTCATCGCAGCCTATGGCATCATACTTTGTGACCAACCCCCTTTTTAATACGCTCGCCACAACCAAAGGCAACCTTCGCTGTGGTGAGCTCTACGTTGTCAGACTTATCTGACAGCATGCTCTCATTTTAACTTCATAATCCTACAACTTTTCATACAAACGCCCTACTAGTATGAAACAAAAGGCCACATGCTCAAACTTTAAGTCATGATAGTGCAAAGTGAGGATCCTAAAACACTATGTGATAACTTGAATTTTAAGACTCTTTGCACAATGAGAGTATCTCCCCTCTTAATTTCAATAAATTCATGCACACAAACATACTTATGCATAAGCATCCTACTCCTCATTTTAATATGCCATAGCAAATTTACAATTTGTCATAATACTGACACATTTGCATGATTAGCTTCCCTCTCAAAAATAAGGGCCAACAACCACAAAATTGCCCAAGATCACACTTAGGCTCCTATACAAATAAAATAATTCCCACATATATAGAATTATGCATTTATCTTAAAGTTGGAAAATTAATACTTTCATTATGCAATGATAAAACTAAAGACATTATAAATAAATCTTTAATTGTTTAGCGTCGATGCCTTCTCTTTTCCCTTTGCCTTCTTGTCTCTTAGAAAATATTAAGTAACAAGAGTGAAATCTAACAATCTTAGTAACTAAGAAATTAAAGAGAGCATATTAAAGTATGAAAATTACATTTATAACAATCAATAGCATAAACAAGCATATCATTTTATAGAACACACTTTGCACAAGTACATGCTCATGATTATGCAACCATCTTATATCCCTTCTTATATTATCTGACCGGACCCATAAACTATTAAATTGTATAGGCCTAGTTCATGTGACTGAAAATAGTCTCGCTCTCCAATTGTGAGGATTACCCTACCAAAAGCTCCTACACCCACTCTTGCACAAATGGATTCCCCTTACTTGAATTTCAAAGCGTCATAAGTTGAACAACCTATACTATCCAGTCTAGGGTCAATGACACGAAGCATTGTGCCTAACTCATGTCACACTCTTAGGTAATAGACAATACTAAGCACATTAGTAATTAGATTTGCCAACCACTGTGTGCAAACTCAGTGAAAGCTACACTATATAGATTTTCTCTATGACTAGCTCTTGACTACTTAAGGTGAAATCTTACTGATGAATCATAGGTTTTATATATTTTAACCCATTTTTTTCATGTATTTTAAATTTGATTTTGGGTTAACTTGAATTTATTAGATATTATTTAAATTATTAGTTAATTTTGAGGAATAATTTATTTTATGGATTAATTATAGGAATTTTGAGCTTAATTGTTAATATTTTATTTTTTTAACATTATTTAATTTTGCCAATCTTTAATTGAGTTTAATTTAAACTATTACACATTATTTGAGTTTTTGATCATTTTGTAGGAAAATTATAATTTTTTAAAAAAAATTAAGACATGAAATTTATTTTAAACATAATGTATACTAATGAGTGCATTTGATTTTTTAGGATTTGGAGATAAAATTAATAAAACTTAATGGTGAAAATTAAATCTTAAAAATTAAAAGAGAATCTAAGAGTTATGAAAAAACAAAATAATGAAGAAATTATCAAGGTTCATTAAAGATACAATAAGCATTTTTAATTAAGGAAAATTATAGAACTTTTACTCTCTTTTTTTCTTTTATCTTATTAGCTCTTTTTTAATTTAATGGCTAAGATTTTTTTTAAATTTATCTCTACCATTGAATCATTTTTCCTCAACGCTACCATTCTTTTTCCTTTGGGGATTGGGGTCTGGGATGGGGCATCTTCATCGAAACTTTTATTATTATTATTATTATTATTATTATTTCTTCTTCTCTCCAGCGCCTTCATACTCCATCCGTGGGATCATTTGTCATTTTTCTACGTTGTCCACATGCCTCATCACCAACATTGTCTCTCTCCAAATGAAACATGCGCGCACACTTCACTTTCATTAATTCCCATATTAAACTTCTTCAACCACTTTTATTTCCACAAAACTTCACCACCATACCATCCTTCTATTATGGGGCTTGGAGCTTAAAGAAAGAGCATCATTTATAAGAGCTTGAGTTAAATTGGAAGACAACTTAAAACAAGCACAGAAGAAGCTAAAATCTAGGACTTACATTTAAGATCATAGGGGAGTAATTTTTTATTTATCTTTTTTATTCAAAAGCTAAGAATTATTTAGTTTTAAATAATTCTAAGTTATAATATTGGAAGAAAATTAAATTTTATGTTGTAAATATTTTAAATCTTGAATTGGATTGATATTGGGATTGAATTTGTGTTGAATGAATTTCTAAAATTTATGTTTACATGTCCTTACTTTACCAATTAAATTAATAATCGAGTTTTTATTATCGATTTAATTATCATTGTGGTATCTATTACAAATTCAAGTTGTTCCTTTTACCTTTTGATTATTCAATTGAGTTAGTAATTTATCTAATTGTTCAATTAGATAATTTAAACATATTTTATAGAATTATTTTGAATTAATCATTATTGATTTTAATGGATTTAATTTGTCTAATTTATAGTTATAGTATTTGATTTGTTATGAGTTTTTTAATAAATTAAGTGTTAGATTTTGTGCTTGTGGTTTTCCTTTGTTTTAATTAGGCAATTAAATTTATTAATTTCACTCTTCTATCATTTCCATTTGGTCTAGGAAAGTTAACTCCATGTTAAATCCTAAATTATTTCTTTTACCACATTTGAATCAAACTTTTCTTAATTTTTAGTTAATTAATCCTTTTTGCCATTTAATTAATTTCTTTAGTTTACATTTCATTTTTTCCTGTCACAAAACCCCCCAATCATAATTTAGAGCTCATGCATTGCATAATAGAATTTAGTTATTAGACTTTAACATTAGTATCCATTTAGGTAGTTTTAGTGACATAAATTGCATTTTCTCATTTTCATTTTTTATTAGAAATCTTGCATTTAGTTTTAGAATTTTTTTTTTTGGAATTAGTATTTAAATACCTAGAACAAACTTAAGATAACTTCTAAATTTCTCCTTGAAAGAATGACAGAGGGTTGATCTATACTATATTAAGTCAATTTTAATTTAATTGAGTGCCGACACGACTAAAATAATCCATCACCCACCCATCGCATGTGTAATATCCTCCTTTTCTAATTCATAATTAACTTCAAA